CACTGAGCACCGGGCACTGGGCACCCTGCACTCCACACTCAGCACCGTACACTCCATACTCAGCACTGGGCACCAGGCACTGGGCACTCCACACTCAGCACCGGGCACCGGTCACCGGGCACCAGGTAACAGGCACCTACACTCAGCACTGAGCACCGGGCACTGGGCACTCCACACTCCACATTCAGCACCAGGCACTGAGCACTCCACACTCCATATTCAGCACTGAGCACTGGGCACTGTACACTCCACGCTCCACGCTCAGCACCCGGTACTAGGCACTGGGCACTCCACACTCAGCACCGGGCACCAGGCACTGGGCACCATACACTCCACACTCAGCACCGGGCACTCCATACTCAGCACTGGGCACCAGGCACTGGGCACTCCACACTCAGCACCGGGCACCAGCCACCCCACACTCCACACCAGGCACCGGGCATCGGACACTCCACATTTTACACTCAGCACTGGGTACCGGGCACTGAGCACTGGCACTGGGCACCCTACACTCCACACTCAGCAGCGGGCACCCCACAGTCAGCACTGGGCACCGGGCACTTCACACTCCACACTCAGCACCAAGCACCGGGCACCGTACACTCCATACTCAGCACTGGGCACCAGGCACTGGGCACTCCACACTCAGCACCGGTCACCGGGCACTGGGCACCGGGCACCAGGTAACAGGCACCTACACTCAGCACTGAGCACCGGGCACTGGGCACTCCACACTCCACATTCAGCACCAGGCACTCAGCACTCCACACTCCACATTCAGCACTGAGCACTGGGCACTGTACACTCCACACTCCACGCTCAGCACCCGGTACTGGGCACTGGGCACTCCACACTCAGCACCGGGCACCAGGCACTGGGCACCATACACTCCACACTCAGCACCGGGCACCCCCAGGGCTCCCACCCGGTCTCACCTCGAAGGCGGAGTCACGGATGCTCTCGATGACGTCTCGGAAGAGGATTTTGGAGGTGAGGGTGTGCCCGTGGTACACCACAGGTTCCCCATCTGGGCCCTCCCAGCAGTCCAGCTCCACACAGCGGCACCCGGCCCG